ATGAGGCAAATTCCCAAAAACTATTCTCATCCAAACCTCGTCTAGGTCTCATTAGAAGACTGTCTCGAAAGTCTACTTTCTACTGATATTTTTGTCGCATTGTCAGTTTTAACAGACTTCAGAGGTTACTGCTAACCACAATGCCATTCAATTGGATGTTGTTTTCGAACGCTTACTGCCTGCTTTCAACGCGGGTAATTATAAAAAAGAGATATTTTCTTTCCTTTGGTGGCAATATTGATGCCGGTGCCAAGCAATTTTTTGAATGGTGATGGAGATTCGAATGGAGTCAGCTACCGTCGGACGGGAAGTCTGCAAATGTTACACGTCTGTTCAAGGATGCTTTTGCCCCAAACTACAGTAAGGTGTATTTCGTATGCGATATATTCTCCCTATTTCATTTTAGGTGAAACGAAATAGGGGGAATACATTTTATATAACTGATTTACTGGTAGTCTCGAAACTATACTTATACACGGTATATTTCATGTTTTTTTTAATCATTTATAAAAAATTAGTCCACATTTTTACTCAGTTGATAAGTTAAAACAAGATTACGTAATTTTTCCACTAATATGTAAGTCAACTAAAGGAATAAAAAGGAACTAAAATCAATTAAAAACATCTTTGATAACATCTGAAAAGGGAGAAGCTGAAACATATTGTTACATCTCAAGACGCTATAAAAGAGGGCAGAAATGATGTTGATTATCAAATTCCGAAAAAAACATGTATGATATATGACATACAGAGTGCAAATGGCGATTAAAACAGTGGATAGGCATACCAAGTATTGACACATTTTGTCGTGGAAACTTTCCTTTCGTATGAAAGTGGCTAATAACAGGATTCGTTTAGTGATCTCACTGGAAGATGACGGCCAATTTCCGTTATTCTGCAGCAGTTTGTTTTGTATAACACATTAGTGTTGAAGTAGTCCATGAAACATACTCTCTAGTTTCGGGAGAAACCGAACTAAAGTTGAGTCCATCATATCATCAACCTCATTAGAGCTGGAACTTAATTTTTGCAAAAGTCTCGAGTTACGCTAAGTCAAGAAGACTAGCCGGCTTTATCTTACCTCTTATATATATTCATAACGAAAACACGAAAATATATTGCTATAACGTTCTTTGGCTAGTTCCCTTTCCTAGTAGTTATCGTGCATTTACTTTAGTATGTGTGTGTGTGTGTGTGTATGGACGCTATCTTTTGAGCGTTATGATGGTAAATATCGGGTCATCAAGGTTTAATGAGCCAAGAAAAATGACCTGACCGGGACTACGTTAGTCATTAAGTAACTCTGTTTGAGATATTTGGATGTAAGCTTGTAAGCCTGTAAGCCAGGTTATGAAACCACTCGTTATAACTCATCAATCTGAGGTAATTAAGGTATAACGGCCCAAGGAAAGGCATGACTGAGATTGTGTAATCTCCAACATCTGGTTTGGTTGATGAGCCTAGTATACATCTATGGGATGTATTCACTTTATTTCATTTGAGGTGCTGAAGGACTAATAGTTTTACAAATTAGAATTATCATTGGGCTGACAGACTGCATCACCCTCTTTAGGATGGCGGCTCAACAGCCTCTTGCTCCTCCGGTCTTTCAATCAGGCACAAATAGTTCTTATTCAACTTTACATCCTCGTTCCTCACATTCAAATTATTTCATAATCTATCAATTTAAATAGCCTTTCCTATCTTTCTTTTCAAACAAGACGTACTATAATCAGAAAACCTATTCGTTTGATACAATTCAATCTCATGTCCAGTCTCTGCCATGTGTTCGGCCACTTCTGACCGTTGAACTCAGCTCCCTTTACAAGCATTCTTGTGTTCCCCTAGTTTTTGTCGAACAGGCTTGCATGTCTCATCATCATGAGTTCGACCAAAGGAGCACACAATCTCGTAGCAGCCGGATCTCGATAATGGGTCATACTTCTCTCCAAAAGGTGGCCTTAGCGAAGAAAGTGTCAGGGTTTTTTGAACCATGTTTAGATCCATCACCTTAATAGTTCACCTCTCTTCTTAGAAAGAAGGCATGGCAACAAAATAATGACATGAGGAAAAGTCTCAGCTTGTCTCTCCTTGACTAAAAAGTCTTTTGTTGGGGGGACTTTCATTTCACATAAAAGTGCATGAGGAAGAGATTCGTAGGTCGATCCCACCAGAAGAGGATGGATGAATCGCGTTGTACTGCAGCCGTTTGGCTTTAATACGACGTTCAGACTGACGCAGTCGACGAGACCTCCTTCCTCGTTTCGGGTGAAAACAGGCCGAGCTTTCGTCCATCATTCGATGGGCATCATCAGAGCTGGACTTCATGCGTGTAAACGTCGCACGTCAACACTAGCGCAAGAAGACTATCCAGCTCTATCCTAGCTCTTATATAAACACATAATCAAAAAGTGAAATGAATAGGCATAGATAGATATAGGATGGTTTGGCTAATTATCTTTCTCTACTTATAAACGCAAAATAATTATCTTTCATACTGGTCCAGCTACTTTTGCTCGAGTGTGTGCGTCTGCGTGTGTGTGTGTGTGTGTGTGTGTGTGATAGTGTTTATACGCAATACCGGTCCTAAATCAGAGTTGTCAATAGGCTAATGTCAGGCTCTGATCATCAAGGCTTAATGACCCAAGAAAAAGAAAGTATGGTTGAGATAATGAGATATAAGG